CATCGCCTCGCCCCCCTGGCTGCCTTGCCCCGTTTCGCTGGGTAGCGAAACACCCGTAGGGGTGTTTTGGGACCCGTGTCCGCGCTCCCTGCCGGCTCCTGCATCCCGGAGGCCGGGTGGGTGCCTGTGCCTGCGGGCAGAAGGCCCCAGAGCGGGGGGACCCAGGGCCCCTCGGACCCACCGTGAAGTCCTTGGAACTCGGGCAGGAGGGGAAAAAAACCCACCTGTCCTTCGGAGAGCTCTGCCTGCTGAGGCTTCGTCTGCCGCTCCCCTGAGACGAGCGGGTATTGATTGCTCAGCGTCTGTCAGAATCAACGGGGCTATGCACGGAATTCTGTTTTTACAACTCCAGTCTTGTGACTTACTGAACACTTTATTGAAGTGTTTTCTCTGGAAACTTGTCCCAAACGAGGGATGTGAGCCCTAACAAAGAAGGGTGTTGTTCGGGAGCCAACAGGTGACGGGGTGAAACCTGAGTATATGTGTACATTGGAGTAAAGTCTGGCTGCTGTTTAAAATAGAATTATAAAAATCAATGGAGGACTGTAAAAGGCAAGATTTCTTTCTTTCTAAATCCGTGCAGCCTCTCAAGGGGGGCGGAGGGAGAAGCATCCGTGGGAACACCGCTCCCTCGGCCAGGGGCCGGTTCTTGCAGCGTGTGCTTGTGTTTCCATCAGCGCTGCCGAGCGCCAAGCGTAACACGTCCCATCAGAGGGGCTGCCGTGGGGCGATGCTTCCTCCCTTTGTTAATGACCCGGCCTGTCTGTGCTGTGTGGCTTGTCAAAAACAAAAATATACCCCGAGATGGATCGTCCGACTCCCAGTTGGAAAAGTGATCTTTGCGGTAGGATGCTGGAGAAGGAAAGTGCTTCACTCCTCTGTCGGTCCTTGCGGGCTGACTAGCGAAAGGGGAGAAGCTCTAACTGCTCGGGTCCGCCTGAGGCTCAGTGGGATGAACAGGCTCCGTTCCTTGGTGTGTGCTAGTGCTGATACAAACTGCTCATCAACTCCGGATCCAGATTTCCCTAGTCAGAGCTATAGGAGCCGTCTGTAACTATGTTACTTGTCCTGTGGCTCGGGAATGGGACGTTCTGATCATTCATGTAATACATAACAGTCATTTCATGGTGGTTTATTGCTGCTGTATTACACCCTTCCTCTTCTAATGTAGTTATCATGCACGAGGGATTAAATAAGCAGGTGAATGGGCTGGCCATGCTAATCTTAACTCGTTGAGCCTCCATTGTGAATGGATGCATGTGATATGCATCTTGTATCCCCTATAGCCTTGTTAACATGCCTTCTAACAAAAAAGTTGTTAAACAATTTGCCCTGCAGGACAGGGTAACACAGCAGGGGATGGGCAAGGAGATGTTTGTCTAACTGTGCTCACAAATCATGACCTCTTCTATCTGGTCAGGGGTGAACGTAATCAGTGAGCTGGAAATCCTAGCACGGGGGTAGCCTTCATATGGGATTCAGCAATAGCTTTGCTCCAGGTTTGATTTCCTAACATTTGATGTACCCGTAGGTTTGTAATTAGGAGTGTAGTTTGTCTTCATTTCTACGAACTTTGTCATAATATGGTCGTTTTAATACATCGGTAGAAAAAAACCCCATTAATTTCTTTTCTTTTAAAATCAATTTTAGCTGTTAATTCTCTTGTGTTATTCATAGTTGTCCTGCTGTCAGTGAAACACCTCCTTGTAGGCTATGGAACTTTTTTTGAGGGGTAGTATTTGAACAGAGCTGAAACTTCAAAATGCTCCACAAATTTTAAGGAAGCAAACCAAAGCATCCTTGCTGCATTTTGTAGATGTCATGGCAGGAGCAGAAAGACCACCTTTATACACATCCTTCAGAAAGCATTTATTTTTTCAGCTGTTGTTTATATTCATTTGAATCCGCCTTAGGATGTAGTAACTTTAAACAGGTCACTTTGAAGGATGAGTGCAGGTGGGGGGCAGGGAGGAGGAACCCTGTAGTTCTAAAATGCAAACCAAATTATACTGGAGCAGGAGAGGAAGGAGAACTCCTAAACAAGCAATTGCTAAAATAGTTCTGCAGATAGCCTGCTGTTAAGCTGGACTGATTTAGAAACTTCACTCTCAGCAACACCACAGTATTGGTGACATGGCCATCTTGATATATGGTGTGCTGTCAGTCATTGTATAGCTGATTTAGCATTAGCTCTACGGCAGTGTTTTTCTTAAAAGCTAATGTTGTCCTTTGAGTAATCTTGGTTCATTGAGATTTATGAACCTTGCTTTAAGCATGTAGTAATTGTTCTATCTGGGGAGAAGCACCCTCACTGTAAAGTTGCATTTTACAGTTGAAGGTAAGGTATATTTATTCTCTACCAGCCATACTTTCACCCTGCCCTGTATCACTGGGAGTATGTGCCTGTGGTTTTTCTCTTCTTGGAGCTGGAGTGTGCTGTGAGAAATGATTGGGTCAGAGGTCTCTTCACCTAAATTACATTTCAGATCTGTGCCTTGTGGTGTGGTTGAGGTCAGGCTGCCTAATGAAATGTTGGCAAAGATGTTTCATCTAGTGACTCCTTTTATTGCTGGGTGAATAGGTAGGAGTCAGTTTTTGAAAAGTGACAGTCTGGCCAACAGAAGTTCTCGTGATGCAAGCTGTAAGAATTGCAAATACCAGCTTAGGCATCAGCGAGTGGCACATTATTGTAAACCAGGTATCTATCTCTTTCGAAGGGAAATAGTTCATCTGCTGCTAAGATCTTCTCAGTGATGCTCATAGTGATTTTATAGTTAAGAATTAGTTGGGTATAAATGATGAGGGGCACAAGCTGCCAACCTGAGCATCTCCATCTGTCTGCAGCAGTGAGCACTGTTGCCTTTTTTTTTTTTTTTTTTGCTAGAGTGATTTCTTAACTGCATCACAGTATTTCTTTTTTACCTCCTTCCTCACACCCCAATTTTATACAAACAATGACAAAACCACACCTGATACTTTACTTCATTTCCACTAGTACATGGAGAGGGCAGTTCTATATCGCTTATCTTATAATTTTTTTCTGAAGGAAACTTAATTTGGGGGATCAAGTACATACCAAGATGTCAGACTTTCTATTTTAAATATATAGTATTGAGCTTTTAGGATTGAGTTTGGTTTTACCTTCTTTGACAAAGACTGCGAAGCTTGGAAGCTGTTTTGCTTACCTTCAGTTGTTCAGCTAGAGTGAGATTTCAGAAATTGGCCTGACAGCTGGCAAGCTTTGTAGAAATAGCCTGTTCTCAAAGGTGGAGTTGGCAGGTTTGCTTGCCCCATCAAATAATAAAGCTTATTACAGCGCCACTATGCACTGTGTGTAATAGAAGTGTGCTGGCATCTTAGTGCACCAAAAGTAGTGCTTACGTTTTTGAACCAGAAGTTTTTGGAGTAAACTTAACAAACAAATTTATTTTTTGAGCACTAGCCCAGTAGAAGAGTTAAGTAATCTCACCTCTTTTTATTGGGTCTGGTAATGTAGAGACTTACTGAAAATTGGGGGTATGTAGACTGTGTAGTACTGAATATCGTCATTTCTCCGACTTTGTAGCTTTGGATGCATGTGGCCACTTTTGATGGAGCACATTTGGGTTTACCTACTGAGTCAACAGAGCCTCTCCGTAAGCAGTGCCTCAGTAATCAGCAGGAGAAACTGCTGAGTAACTAGCAGAACACTTGGGAACGCCATCTTAAATCTTTCTTCCACTTGTGATCTAACAGCAAATTATTTTCTCTAATAAGGTGATGATGAGGACCATTATTACATGTGAAATACAATGTGGGACCCACCAGAAGTTTTCAGATTGCTCCCCCCTTGAGGCCCACCAAACATGTCAAGGAGATTAACATTTTCTACTGCTCAAATCTAGCACTGACAAAATTGTATCTGTGTTTAGATGAATAAGTGAAAGGATGGCCTAAAACATGGAAGGCACAGCTCATGTGTAATGTACTGTAAAAGCAAGCTTGTTTCTAACCCTAGTGGTCAGGGTGTCTGTCATGGTAGGATACATACTCTGCTTTTGGTTACCAAACTCCCTGGCCTAAATTTCCTAAGAACTTCTGCTAGAAGTAATGTAAGAGACTTCAGCTTTTTACTGCAGAATGCTACAGATGTTACAGCTTTCTTTGCCAGTTGTGACTCAAAGTGATCCCACTGATCCCAAGCTTTGCAGGCTTCATGAATCAACAGAAGCATCTCCCTGTAGGGTTGAAATAAACAGAACAATCATGATGTATTTTACAGAGCTTAATCTGGCATAATTGGATTTCAGATTTTTACCTGGACCAACGCCCTTTTGCTCCAATAGAAGCTAAACCAAATTTCTCTGAGGAACCCAGGAGAGACTTGGTGCTGTTTGGCTACCTTGTGAAAAACAGGTGCCACTTGCACAAGTGTCTTTCCCCAACAATTTCTTCAGTTTTTGACAAGCAATTGTCATGTCTTTTGTGTTACCAGATTGGTGGTAGTAATGACTTCAGGAAGAGCTAGTGCTGTTTCTTTAAATATCTGCCCAATTAGTCTTTCCTAGATGTAGCTACATATAACCTGTGAAATGAGCCAAGCAGAAGTGTGAAAGTGTTAATATTGAAATACATTATGGTTGCCCAATGTGGTAGTGTGTGGGTGTCTAGTTTTCTTTGTGCTTATTTTTATAACTCTTCTAAGCACTTTTGAATTGCTTGTAGCAAGTTGTACTGATGCTTCAATAATTTATTGTTCTGGGCAGCACAAGGAAATGTAGGAACTGTTGCAGGATCATTTATAGTGATAATTAGTTGTTGCACGTTCAAATTTATTAAAGCTCTGTTAATATCTCCTTCCAGATCCGTTGCTTGATGAGCTGCAGCTGAAATATTTAACGCTTCACACTTATGCCACTGGAGATGGAGCCCAAAGCTAACAACCTCGTTTTTGGGTGCCAGCGAAGCTCAACATCTGACGATGACTCTGGCTGTGCCTTGGAAGAATATGCCTGGGTTCCCCCGGGCCTCAGACCAGAGCAGGTAACAACTCTGCTTCTGCATTTTTGAAATTAGGCTTGTAAGGACTGTCTGAGGGAGTGATGCGCTGCCTGTACAAGTCAAATTATTATAATATATAAAACCTAAATTTGGCTAGAACTCCACTTCTTGTTTTGCTTCCTGTTCCAATGAGGCTGTGCCTATGGAGCTTAAAATCCTCACCACTGAGGACTTTTATTCCTAGTCAAGATTTTTCAATAAATACATGCTGCAGAGGTATGTATTATTGAGTCTAAAAGCAGCATAGAAATTTGCGTCCTCTTTTAAAGAAGTTTTTAGGTAAAATAAAAGCTTGTGGCATCGTGCTGCTTAGCCAGTACTTCACTGCACTCATACAACTCTTTAAATAATTAGGCATTTGACACCTAGAACATGTATGCTGCTACTACAGTGCACATAAATGAGGTTGTTCTGTCACTGTGGCAGGTAGTGGTGTATTTTACGCTTGTTTAAATAGCTGTATGCCTGCCATTTGTTCACGCCAGGATTTCTCTCGTGTGGTCTCCGGAGCTGACACTCGTGGGTTGGGCTGTTCCCTCCCATCTCCCCTCTCTTCTTTTGTAACATTATGGTAATGGAAATAAAAGTGAAATTATTCATGAGCAAATTGAGACAAAAATGAACCTCTCATAGTGTTCGTCTGCTTGATCCCATTGCAGCTGTGCTGAGGCTGTGTCCTTCAGTAACATCCAGCGTTAAATGGACAGAGTGGCTTTGTAGGTCGGCTGATGGGGGCAGAGCAGCCCCCATTAGCAGCCTCAGCTGGCAAGCTAAGGCAGTCTAGACTTACAAAGGTGCAGAAGATGCCTCCTGTTTTGCTATGCAGAGATTTTCATAATAATGAAAAAAGTAAAGAGTCAGCAGG